AATTTTATAAAGATAATAATTAAGTATTCTGTTAGAATTTAATGATTATACTAATTATATTTTAGATTTTTTATATTTAAAATGAGATGTTTATCATGTATTTGATTGTGTTTATCTGCAGTTAGTTACACGAATTCAGATATGGGATGAAATCGTTTAGTGATGAACGGGTTTAAGAGTTTTTAAAAGTTTTAACCAAATGTTTTATAAGATAGTATAGATATATTCACGTACAAGATGATACAGGTTAAAAACAATTCCCATCTCCAAGAATACTCTAGCTTTAACCTAATTCATGTTACACTTACACTTGGATCATTTATTTAACTAAAATGGTTCTTGAACAACATTCTAGCGACCTTGTAAATCAAGTATACATACATAAATCATGTATCTAATTCTCTAAAACCATTGTGATGATCTTCTGCATAATTGCACAGACAACAAAGCCAAACTTGCAGACTTCCAAATTGTACTCCATGGAATCCCATATTTCCCGTTTCTGAACATCCCTTTTAGGTATTCCCAGAAGCACAGTGACACAAAAACACTACAAAACACCTCCCCTAACCCCAACACCGCTGTCAAATCTTCACGAGACCCCATCTTGACCAGTCTCCACGAGCCGCTGACCAATGCCGTCATATTCACCAGCAGAATGACGACACCTGGAACAATAGTGGGTGACCTGTCATAAGTAAACCTACCGGCATTTGCATCATCGTTGTCATCACCATCAGACGAGCTTTCATCCTTCGGTGTCACATGGAAAACCGTCTGTGACAAGCCGAGGAGCTTGAGGATGACACTCGGCCACGCAGATAACAATGCCGTCATCGCATTTACTCGCCCCATTCTTTGAAGGTTCCACCACATACGAACCGATATACCGAGCGGTTTGAGTTCCCAAATCCCGTAAAGAGTATAAATGACGAGAATGGCCGTAGGGATGAGAAATGCCGATTCGGAGATCTTGGGCAAGAAACGTGAGTTTGTGATGATACAATATGCGGGAAGAGCGGCGTAACATATCTCTGGAACCCCTCGAAAGCCCCAAGAACACAGCCACATGTAAACAAGGGCTTGTCGAACCCAAAGCTTCCCTTTCAAAGTAAGAAGTAGCGGGTTCTTATTGGTGAACAAGACTTCGAGAAGCCCGGTGGCCCATCGTTTTTGCTGTATTAAAGCACCAGGATATGTTAAAGGTGCACAACCAAGAAATGGGGCCGGTCCAGGTACGCAAAAGACCGATTTCCATCCTTTGCCATGGATCGAGAGTCCGGTTAGGATATCTTCTGCCGTAGATCCATACATCCAACCAATCTGAGAATAAAGGTTGTAGAATCTAGTAAACCATCAAATCACTGTTTTATAGACTTAAGTTTATATGATCAAACAATTGTAGGTCCACGGTTAAAGTAATACGATAAGTTGGTACAACAAACAATTGTTTGATCCTGTATGAAACCACTTATATATTTGACGAAGTGAGACTAGAAAATATAAATGTAAAGTTGGTGACCGGTAATTACCTGTTTGCCCCAGGCAGTACCATACTCGTAGCTACAGCCTGTAACTTGGATGGCTGCCTCGATGAAACTAGAGGGAATTCTTCGGTTTTCTAACTTTGCATTCGATCCTGATAACGCCTGAGCAGCTGATTCGCTCATTTCAATTGATTTTCCAAACATTGTATGTAGATATTCGTTATCTGTGTAATTTCCTATTTAAAAACACACACAAAATGAGTGAAATCGAAGCTTCGACATGCCTAAACAAAAGGAATAATGTTTAAAGGCGTACCAGTTTTGATTGTATCGTTCGTAGATGAACCATATATAACCTTTCTTCTGTGAAAACAGTTTGATCCTGCATAGAAAGACCCTTGAATTGCCGATATTCCATTCGCAATATACTGATTTAAACACGACAAGAAGGTTAAAAAAACTGATGAATTCTGGTGATCATTAGAGAACAAAAATTAAGGTTGAAGTAAAGATTTTACGCACGCATAAATTCACCAGTTGAATTCCAAAAGGGTCATCCTTCAATCCGTCGTAAAATGCTTGAGGGAATTGGATAAAAGCGCAATCTTCTTCGTTCTTGAAACTGAACACCATACACATTGCATGGAGAAAAACTTGTGGATTGTTTGCATACATATCGCAGTCTACGTTGAGCATCAATGGTGCATTTGTCATCACTCCTGAGACTCTTGTCTGTTCACCCATTACGAAATTAAGTCTCAAAACCACGTACACACTATGATCGATCTTTACAATTAACGAATATATATATATATATATATATGCAAAGGAATTGAAAGAAAGGTTAGTGATTACGAGAACATTCATAGCTCCAGCTTTGTAATGATGGTGATGCTTGGGGTTCTTCTCTCTTGAGATGTATATAACATGGGGAAGGTCGTTTGGAGTACCCTCTTTGTTCTCCGATACAACCTACAGTTAAAATTACCACAAAGATTATCAACGGAAAGCTTTTCAAAAAAGCACTTTCAGATAATTAGGTCTCTTTACCAAATGTTTACTCGGGTAAGAGCTTATCAAACCCCATTACCTTGCCGGATGTATATGACAAAGACCAAGAACCTTACCTAGTAAGAGCGAAGGCAATGACCGAAAGTTTACCCAGTAAATAAAGGTGACGACTCTTATCACAATTAACGTTTACTGAATAAATTGTTGCATACTATACTGTTTTAGTAGATTAAAATCTTATCCGGCAAATAAGAGATAGTGTTTTATTTTACTGGTAAGCACTAATCCGAATAAATATTTGGTGAACGGCCCTTAGTCATGTTAAGAAGCTCTTACTTCATTTTGAAATTTAAATTGTAAATAACATCAATTCTATAAATGAAATATAATTAAATTCATACCTGAAAATTAATTCTACATATTATATTATTTTTTTCCATTAATTCACTCTTCACAGCTTTGTATCATCACCATTCACATGGAACTCAGCAAAATTTATTTTGGTTTAATAATATAAATTTTCATAAAGATAATAAATATGTATTATATTATAATCGATAATTATCTTAATATATTTTAAATATTTTATTTTAAAATGATATATTTATCTATAGTTAATTACATGAATTTAATAATGAAACTTTGATAAGTTATATTTATACATAATCTATTTGTAATCTTGACTTTTAAGTAATATGTATCAATAAATAATATTTTATACATAAAAATAATTTTTAAATTTTTTTATCAAATATTTTATAATATTATAACATACTTTATTTATTTATTAATTTAGTTTGTTTACACACCACATGTTTTTTATTTTGTATCCTTGACAAAGACACTTTCAATCCAATCCACATTATGTCTCTTCCAATAATTGTCAGGAGCAATATTGTAATTTTCCAATAAAAACAAACTCTTATTATCACTGTTTGTGAACCACCCAAACACTTGCCTCTGAGGCTTTCCTGACATATTATCTCATTGAGAATTTTCATCAAACACTTGGAGGATTCCAATAAAAGCTCAAACTTTATAAATGGGTGTTCAAATTGAAAACCACTTATCCTAGTTTTGTAATAACCTAGACCCAAATCAAGATTTGAGATATCAACGTATACGATAGGAATGACACCACCAAATCTTGCATAGTGTGTGTGTGTCTCTATGTGTGTGTTTTAGCCGCAAATGGGAAAGGACGTAGTAATACCTTGATGATGGTTGGATGGTTCGAGCGGTGGGTGTCAGCAAAAACAGCAAAATCCGAATCACGATCACATGGGAATGTCCTCTGAGCTGCAAGATGGATCTTTTTGTAAAGAATTCCATATTCATTCTGTAATCATTTGCAGACAAGTGCATAATGAAATTTACAGTATAATAATCAGATAAACCATAATTCACGTAACAAATTTGGACACTAGAAATCGAGTCTCGTCAGCCACATGTATCTTGGCAGTACCTTGGGAGCATGAGTTCAAACTTAGAATTTTGAAAATTGACCATCTAAAAAGCTTTTAATGTTCCCCTAAATTTTGTTTCCAATTCCATTTTTTTTTTTCAAAAAAAGGTTATTTTCTCATTAAAATGTTAATAAATAAATAAAAAATACATTTATTAGCACCGCAAAAGACAACCGATTTAATAATTTTAAAAGAAAATCGTAACCCAAAAAAAAAAAAACTAAATTGCTACCTTCATCGTTTTCCATTCTTGTTTGAACTCTGATGACTCGTCTTCCATTGATGGGGTCTTGGGCGTAAAGTATCGAAAGGGAGCTCTAACTTGAACGTTATACTTTTTGCAAAAAGGGACCCAAAGTTTTGCGAACTTTGTTGTTTCAACAAGTGAATAAAGTATAAGAGGTGAACATCCGTCATCAGAGAGATAAAGAGCTAACTTGTTGGCCGGATAATCCACTGCTAGCAAGGATAACACTGTGTTCATTGTTAAGATACATGGTTCAAGGACAGGGTCTGCAGTAGTGACGAATATATCCACTGCAGGGAACTCTGATTCATTTACCCTGAAACACAAAAAGGTATCTTGTTATGTATATTTGGTAATTCATTGATGAATATATATATATAGCACTAGATTTTAATTCATGACCTTCATCGTTTTCAAAACTATAAGTTAATGCTTATTTTGAAACGGGTTTATAGTAAAATCTAACACATGATGTAGAGGCATGAAGTTAGATCCTATACATGTGTTGTTTTAATAAAATATGAAAAAGATAATCAAGAAACATACGACAAACTTAAGAAAAGAAATCAAGCGAACAAAAACCCTCTTTCCTATCTTCAAGTGGAAAAGAAAGTCGAAGACGAACGGTATTAATTACAACATGGAAGTCGAATTTACCTGTCCAAGAGTCGTTCAGGATAAGTTTTGTTCATGCATTGAGTCCATTTCGCATTCACGATAATAATCCAATACAAAGTAAACCACGACTCACACAACAATGCAAGCAACCATGGGAAGTAGTTGTCTTGGTCTTTGAAGGTAACGACTCGATACACAAGCAAGGAGACGAGAAGGGCAAGAATCACGAGCTCTATGGCTCGCGGGGTTGTGTTCTTGAAAAATATTTTTTCGTGTAAAGGAGCAGAATCCGAGTCTCGAGTTTCCATAACCATGGCCTTTTGAGTATTTGTGTGTGCTTTTTGATATGTTGAATTGGGTATTTATAAAGTGGCTTTTCAAGATTCAATGTAATGTCCGAATGGTGCCAAACTATCAACATTTTCACAAAAAAAATCATTCATTTATTGTTTTTCTTATACAAGATTGGTTTGGGTAGAAAATTCCTTTCTCAATCATGTATATATCCAAATGTGAGTGTATTTGTATAATATTTATAATTGATTATCACATACATTTTAATTTATACTTTTGATAAAAAAACTCTTAAAAATCATTTTATATGCATAAAATACTGTTTATTAATGCATGTTACTTAAAACTCAAGATTACAAGTATATTGTGCATAAATACAACTTATTAAAGCTTCATATCTGAATTCGTGTAACTAACTACAGATAAACATAATCAAATACAAGATAAACATCTTATTTTAAATATAAAAAATCTAAAATATAATTAGCATAATTATTGAGTTCAAAGAATACTTAGTTATTATCTTTATAAAATGTTATATTATTAAACCAAAAATAAATTATTTCATTATTAAATTTAAATTAAATTATAATAAAAAATAAATAAATAAAAGAAATTACTTAAAAGTTGAGAACTTTTAAATAGTTGATTTGATATTAACATTGATATTATTTTTTTTTTCAAATTTTTATGATATCTTCAAATGTATATTTTATTCAAATATAAAATCATTATTGTTTTCTTAAAAACACATAAAATCGTATTATAACATCGACAAAGATAAAGAATAAAATAGAATATTAAAATCGAGATTTATCTCGTTGCATTGTGTGAGAATTCTTCTAGTAAAAATAAATTATAATCAACTGATAAGCAACTGAAAACTTTATTGCTCTTTCAAAAACGAACAAAACCATAAAATAAAATCGAAAGATACGAAATAAAGATGTATTACACTGCATTACACTTCTAATAAGTTTTATTATTTTTTAAAACTAAAATGTGTCACCCATATTACTTTTAAATCTAAAATATACTAAAAATAAAAAAAAAATTATACCCAAAAATAACATTTTGGTTTGATTTCAACCACAGGATCAAAGTGAATCAATGGTTTGAAACATATTGTCACCATTCTAACCCTTAGATGGTCCCAACTCATATACAAGATTTTATCAAAATATTACTCATGATTTTTAAATTTCTATATTTCATTGTGAGGAAAATTTAAAATTTATATATTATAAATCGCAATGAGTTTTTTTTATTAACCTGAATATCAAACTCGTTATCCGAACCGACTAATCCAGGACGACCACCTGCTTTACAGATAAATCGGAGTCACTGCATTTGAACCTCCGTGGCCACAAGGGGATTTTTATTCCTCGTTTAATTTGAACCCGAGACCTCCAGGTATTTTTAACCTTTGGAGCTAAGCTCAAACCAATCGTATTGAGTTTTGTTACTTACTAACACGTAATTGACTATTAAAGCACCTTCAGTTATAAACTTTTTCTGTTTTTCACATGTTAATGACTTTGCTTTCTATTTTTGTAATATTAATTTTATTTTTTCTGTGATTTTTTTCATAAATCTTCCATTTCTAACCATTAATTCATAGTTTGTGTAGTAAAATAAAATTAAAAAGACATTAATGAAAATTATAACAAATTTTAGAACAAATGAAATCAACAATAACAAATTTTAAATAAAATAAAATTAACGATGATAATTTCAAATAAAAGAAAATGAAAAATAACAATAATTAATGGTTATATTTTTAAAGAATGAAAAGATGTAATGACCATTAATTGTTTTATGTAAACTAGAAAGGTATTCGTATAATGTAACGAGATACATCTCGATTTTATTTTATTTTCTTTTATTCTTTCTTTATTGATATAATACAGTTTTATATGGTTTTGAGAAAGTGATAATGTTTTTATTTTTGAATAAAATATAAATTATTGTAATTAAAATTTTGAAAGAAAAAATATCGATATTAGTATTAAATTAACTATTTAAAAGTTTTCATTTGATTCAAACTTTTTTATCATAAGGTCTAATAATGAATCAATTTATTTTTGGTTTAACAATATATATTTTTATAAAAATAATAATTAATTATTATATTAATTTAATAACGAATCAATTTTGGTTTAATAATATAGTTTTTGTTATAAAAATAATAATTAAGTATTTTATTAGAACTCAACGATTATCCTAATTATATTTTAGATTTTTTATATTTAAAATGTGATGTTTATTCTGTATATTATTATGTTTATCTACAGTTAGTTACACGAATTCAAAAATGGAGGTTTAGTAAGTTGTACTTATACACAATTTACTTGTAAACCTGAATTTTAAGTAATATGCACCAGTAAACATTATTTCATGCATAAAAATGATTTTTAAGAGATTTTGTCAAATGTTATATAATATAGTATAGATATATTACATTCATATAATAACAATGATGATAAATATAAAATATTATGTTTATATGATATCCATGGAGGTAGATCTTATGATTGTGCTCCAATATAATGGAGAAATTGCTGCGGTTTATTAAAAGTTGGTATATTTATTTTTTTGGTTTGGAAATTACAATTTTCGTCATTGTGGTTTGCATTCTGTTGTTACTTTCATTCTTGAGACTACCCCACCCCTCCCACTGACCACCTCCATATTCAGTTACATGAAAACAAACTCTTTCCTTCCCTTCCATTTTCGTTGAGGCCTAAAGCCCATCAGTCTGAACAAAAAGCTTCCTAAGATGCAGATGTTGGATATGGGTAACGTTTTCGTTCATCCCGCATTTCCTTTTTGTTCATTTCGTGAGTCCCCTTTTCTTGAAAAAAAAGTACAAACTAAATGAATGAAAACATGGGGTTTCTGGTTTCTATAAGCCATGAATAAAACGATACATATGATGGCAATGATTTTGTTCATCATGCATTTTCCTTTTTGTTAATCTTGGGTTTCCTTTTCAGGAATGGTCAGTGACTAACAGAGAAAAGAGGGGACCATGCGCATCGAAGACCGTGGCTCGTGGTTGTGGCGATGGAGTCGATGTTGGGACAACGAGTGTAACACCCCAAATCTTCAATCTACAAAATTTCCTCTAAAAATAAAAATAATGTAAAATATACTTTCTTTCTGTAATACCGTTCAACAATATTCAAAAGTTTAATACAAAACATTTCATATAAAGCTCGTTTATTATAAACATTTTCCAAAATATGTGGGTCACATAATTGACCAAATACACATGGTTTAAAGAAACTTCTCAATCAAACAAAAGCACATATTTTGAAAAGTACCTTGTTTTCTATATATTATTCAATCAAATAATAATAATAATAATAATAATAATAATAATAATAATAATAATAATAATAATAAATTTATATATATATATATATATATATTAAAAAAAGAAAAATCAAATTATTGTTATAAAAATAATTTTTGATTAAATATTCAAGATAGGATTTAGAAAGATAATTTAAAACTTCATTTTAATCGTGAATATATAACGTCCGTAAATTTGTGAAACTATGAGTGACGTGATTAGATAAATTTATTAAAATATAAAATTTAAAGTTAAAAATGTAAAAATACAAATATTAAAAAAAATAAAAAAGTTCTCATGCCTTGAAAAAAAATGTACGCCGCGGTGCTAGCCACGTTCTACAGAAACGCTATAGTCCTTATCGTAATGGTAAAGACGCATCTTGTGCCATTACCACACCATGACATACCCTTTTAAAACACTGGTTATTTTAGCACCTCACATTTGAAGGTAAGAGTTAGCCTCAAGAAACGAAAATAATAAATTATAAACTATAAAAACGAAAACCATAATTTTAAAACCACAGAAAAATACATATATCTATACTATAATATAATGCATTTGACAAAAACTTTTAAAAACTATTTTTTATGCACTAAGTACTGTTTATCGATACATATTACTTAAAATKTAAGATTACAAGTAAATTGTGCATAAGTACAACTTATTAAAGCTCCATATTTGAATTTCTGTAACTAACTACAGATAAACATAATCAAATATTGGATAAAATCTCATTTTAAATATAAAAAATCTAAAATATAATTAGGATAATCATTGAGTTCTAACAGAATACTTAGTTATTATCTTTATAAAAAATTATATGTTAAACTGAAAATAAATTTTTGTTACTAAACCTAAATTAAATTATAATTAAAAAATTTAATTAAGAAAATTACACCAAAACACAAGAACTTTTAAGAAGATTAATTTGATACTAATATCGATATTTTTTTTCTTCAAAATTTTATGATATTTTAAAATTTATATTTTATTCAAAAATAAAAACATTATCTTTTTCTCAAAACCACATAAAACCGTATTATAGCGACATAAAAAAGAAATAAAACGAAACAGTAAAATTAAGATGTATCTCGATACATTGCATGAGTACCTTTCTAGTAATTAAAAAAAATTATTTTATCTAATTTTCAAGATAAAGATACTACCAAAAATTCGTCCTAACCTTTTTTTGGTTATGGATGATTCCTCTCAATATATTTACATTTAGAGGTCGTTTACTAAATGTTTGTTTGGTAAGTGCTTACCGGATAAATTTTATTATCGGATGAACATGACAAGGGCCACGAATCTTACCGGGTAAGAGCGATGAGAATGATGTAGAGTCTTACCCGGTAAGTGAAGATGACGACTCTTACCCAGGTAAGTGCTTACCCGGTAAATTGTTGCATTCGATACGTTTTGATGTACTAAAATTTTACGCATCAAGGTAAATTATAGTGTTGACTCCTATAGGTAAACACTTAAACGGGTAAGCATTTGGGTAAATAGCCCCTTAGTTTTCAAGTGACAAAAAATTAATATAACACAATGACAATTTTCAAAAAATAATAAAGTTTCGAATCGAACACCTACTAAACGTATTATAATTATAAAAATCGTTCATTATATGTTCATAAATCATGATTGAATGACACTATTTTCTTGCACGAGTTCTTT